TATATACATGAAAGTTGCTATTACTAATAAGACTTACATATTAGAAATAGAAGCTCAGATATATTAAGGAAGTTACCCCAGTTTCAAAAGCTATTATGTGGTGGACATGGTTCATTCCATCCTTTGTACTTGTCATCTTCAGAAAATCTGCCCTCTGTTTCTCTGCTAAAGGAGCTAATTCCACTGTTGGGTAAGATGCTTCCAGATGAATTCTTACTATTGCTTTTCATGAAGGTCAGAAGTGTGTTCATGTCTTATTCCTTACTGGTAGTTTGTAATCTTAACTTTAGAGAACACATATTTAAAATCTTGATATGAAATGTACAAAAGCTCAATTTTTAAAATCTCGTTTGGTTATACAATAGTCTTTTTGCACCTGTTAAAGACTAAATTTGGTATTATCTCCAAAATATGAACTTTTGTGGTATACCATCACATTCAAGATGGGGATTAAAATAATACTTATAATAAATGCCACTAAACAATCTTTCTAAAAGTAATGACCCAGCCATCCTGTGTCCCCCAATAGCACCCTCAGACTGGGTAAAATGAAGACAATAAAAAGATAATCAGTGGCATCTTAGGGTTGGGATTGGACTTTTGCTTCTTGGTAATGCTTCTAGCCATACATTAACAATCTCTCTGAGCTATTCAAGTGGCTGTGAGTTTTTCGTCTGCTCGCCTTGATCAGCAAAGGTTCTCAGAGGTCTCTAGTTGTTGCTTATGCTCAGATACCATGACATTCTCATTCTATAATGTCATTTTATTTTTAAGCCCATTAGAGGAAAAGGAGAATCCAAGAAAAAGGAAGGCTCCCATGTGTGTACCTGCTGGTGTGTGATGATCAGAGTCTAAGAGAAGACCTGCACAAAAATGGGAGTACTCACATAGTTCATCTGAGAACATGGTCCACATTTTCAACAGTGTAATAACAGACTTAAACATTTTTTTCTAATCAGAGAAGAATATACTCCAGACAAAGGTGCCTCCATTCCCTACTTATAAAGAAACACATCTCATGGGACCAGCAGAAACACAACCAGAACAGTCTCTCTGGATTGCTTTCTGGGAAGTGTGTGGCAGATCCTCTTAAGCCCTATTTGCCAGTTTCTCTCATCTTCCAGTATGAGATAATATTGCTGATATTATTGCAAAGAGAGACCCTAAAGTGGGAAAAACACTTCTTCAAGATTGTATGCATAAATAGGCACCATTTATAACACAAGGTCACTGACAGTATTACCCCTGTGTTTTGTTGGCTTTACATGTTTAAACTTCCCCTTATGAAATCACTTATCACTTAAAAAGTTATCTCATATTGCTGTGATTATACATTTATCTATAATAAATATTGTTATTTAGAGTAGACACATATTTGATAACTATCGGTTATGAATGAACCTACTATCAGCATATTTCACAATTAAGAAGTTGTGGTGCTCACAGTTTACTTTCAAACACAGTGATTTTTTGCACTATACTATGATGAATTGGACACTGAAGCCTTTTGCTCAATAAAAAAGTTAAAATATATTATAAAGTGTTTGCAGAGGCTTGGTATGAGTTACTCCATGCAGACTTCTAGATTGAACTATTTGATTGAAAGACTTATTTTCAAATTAAAAAGTAATTATTTAATTAATAGAAATAAAATGAAAGAAAGAAAATAAAGATCAAGATAACATCATATATGTATGTTTGTCACTTGATGTACTCAAGAAATAAAGAGAACCATTTTCATATATGTCAATGACTATATTAATTTGAATAAACAAGGCAAGTTGCATAAAGTTCTTTCTTATTTTGAAGTAGTTTTATTTTATTTACATGATTAAGCTTTTCAATGAAATGAATTTACTGCAACAGAAAGGAAGCCTTAGATTAATAATGACAATTCAATGTGACCTCCATGGCAAAATAAATTATAACCATATCCATTGTAGTTAGAAAAGTAATTGTTGTGATAATAATACAATTTAGCTATTGCCAGAAAGTATCTTCATAAAGGACAGGCACCTGTTGGAGTTGTCAGCATTAGACTAGATTTCATATGGTGGGAGTTGCCTGCTTAGTAGTCTTACTTATTAGGCTGCAGTTTAATTATAGCTAGCATTGACTGTGTGCTTCTATGTATTGGGACTCTGTCAAGAGCACTATAAGCATCATTGGTTTCAATATTTACCATAAATGTTTTAGTATTCTCTCACTTATTGTTATAGTAGAAAATTTAGTCTCAAGAACTTTAAGCAAATTAACCAAGGTCATAGAATTGAATTAAAAATAGAACTTTATTCTAGACATAAAATGATATTTATCTTCCCTTTTTGTTAAAAAGTAAAATAATAAGTTCCTTACTAATTCTAATTTGCCAATTCTCATTCACAACAACACTTACTATATGTGATTACTCTAGCTTCCAAATGTATTTTCATGTTTGAATTAATGTTCAAAAGCTCTGTAATGTGGATCATATTAACCTCATTTTATAAATAAGGCCATTGGAACTCAGAACAATTACGATGTACCTAAAGATAGATGGTAGGAGCTCCCAGACATTCCCAAGCTTAGCTTACTTTCCACTACATCATCACTAATTCCTAAAATGATTCCATGAAGAAAGCAGCTGTCGCTGTGAGGAATATGAATAATTCCTCCCTGAGAGTAAGGAATTATTAGTGGATTTATTGTAAAGATCTGGACAAGTTTTCTGTAAACAATACTAAAATTTGATAACAGTACACCATAATTTTATACTGAAATGCAATATTTTTATTGTTATGTGCCTTTTCTAAGATATAACCATACTATGACTAAGAAATTTTGCAAAGTAACTCTAATCTCATTCAACTTTATGTAACTATCAAGAGAGAATTAATTAATTCATGCATACTTTTTTTTTTGTCTTTTTGAGACAGGGTCTCCCTGTAGTCCCAGCTGACCTGAACTCACTATGTAGGCTAGGCTGTCCTTGAAATCACAAAGATCCGCCTGCCTCTGCCTCCCAAGTGCTGGGACTAAAGGCGTGTGCCACCAGGCCAGGCCTTCTTGCATACTTTTAAAAATTATATTTCAGTAAAAGGTTTGGTAATACTTATAGTAATTTATTGGCTCCTTGAAGTCTAGCTGCTTTTTTAAATAATTAGTGTATGATACTGAATATCAAAGAATTTAAAAGCTCTAAGGTAGACAAACAATTTAAGGTAATGCTCATTTATATCCTAATACTAGAAAAATTTGTATTAAATTTAAGTATATAATCACAGTGCCATGAAGATAAGAATATTTAATATAGTATTAAATTGTGAACAAATCAGGTAGGGTGAACAAAAAGAAAATATTTTATATTTACAGATGAGACTATACTTCACAAAATTGCAAAAAAGTACAGGTTTAGGAAAAGAAAAAAAGTTAACTTATATAAAGGAAACAAGAAACTTAAGAAACATAATTTCAAATAAAATATTCTAAAAATTATAAGTATTCTAGTCCAAAAAATGCTAATAATTTGGAGGATATTATTTTGTGATACATATTCATAAAAATGTAAGTTATACAGGAAAAAAAAGTCACATGCAGTTGACAGTACTCCATGGACTTAATATATCAGATATGCCTGATTAATCCAACACATCCTTTTCATAAAGAGAAAAAGTGATTTTATCTATTGGAACAGTAGTGATGCTTCCATGTTGGTGGTAATCAAAAGTCGTCTAACTGGACTCCTTGAGGCCCATTCACTAGGAGGGAAATCATGTGTAGTTCGTACTATAAATATAACCAGGTCAACATGACTGGAGAGATCATAGATGCTAGAGAAGAACCTACTTCTGTCACTTCCAGAGACCAGTATAATTTCTTACTATATTCTCA